GCATTAACCTTCATATCAAACCATATTTTCCCTCACTCGTCTGCAACTTTGATGAAACAATGTTAATAGCCTCCATTACTGCATCCATATATGGACATGGTGGTCGTGTATTATACTAATTACTAACTGCAAGCACAAGCTTCCACAATGAGAATAAGTTGTGGCATGGCTTCCTTCTCTTCTCCACCTCCCTTGCTTTCTATTTTATTGTAGTTATTCTCTGTCAGGTTCAGTACCTCCCCTGTGGGCACATGGATGATGTCACTCAACATCTGTTTGGATTCATTTCTTCGCTGCAGTTTCAGGTGGAGGCGTACATGTGTTCTAGGGATGCGGTTTCTGTTTTTCGTGTACAAGCTTTTTATTGACTGCATAAGCAAGTTACATGAAGTTGCAATAGTATTTCTAAGGAGAAACTGGTGAAAAAGTATGTAGGAGTGACGTGAATAAAATGAATCCTTGATTAGGTATTCATTTCATTTTTTTTTTTTTTTTAGAAATCAACCAAATCCGACAATACTGTTATCTTGCAGATGACACCACCTGCCCCAAACCTCCATGTTTACATGCAGAGAGAGAGTGCACTGTGATTACTATCACAACATTAGAGCTGCATATTTCCCCAAATTCCAAAAAATTAAACCACATTTTATGGCATTACCAAATACAGAAAAATTAAGTAACATTTTAGGGGAAGATTCCAAAATGATCACAACAGCAGCAAGATATGTATCAGCCTGTCACAAACTAAGACTGTCAGCCAGTGGACAAAACTGAAGCAAGAGCATTTCTTACATGTACTGTTGTTCAATTTTTTTTTTAATTTTTTTTTTAACAATGTCTTTAATATTTCTCTTGTTTGTGAAAAAAAAAAGAAAAAGAAAGTACATTTACTGATTTACTTAATTATTTTACATATCTATTGTTGTTTTGTTTATGTATTATATAATTGTTTATTCCTTATTCATGTAATGGACAATGCATGTAATGGACAATGGCAATACTGTCATGCCAATAAAGCTCATTTGAATTTGAATTTGAGAGAGAGAGAGAGAGAGAGAGAGAGAGAGATTAAATGTCTATGCACTATGCTAGAAGAGAGTGGTTGATTTATTTGACTTATACAGGTCTGTAGTCTTTTTTTCTAATGCACACTTCTTCTCTAGGCTCGTTATAGACTGTCCTCTGCACTTTGGACAAGCAGTCCAATGCAAAATGTCTCAAAACACACTGGGACGATTTTACTAAACAGTTGTGGTGCTTTCGGATGGCGCATTTTACTGTTAAAACCTGCATTTTATTCGCTAACCACCCATAATCCAATTTAACAAGGTGCTAAATATGCTAAAATAGATCTGTGAGTGTTTAAATGTAGGTTAGCAGAGTGTCACAACCTCTTAATTTAATTGGACTCAATTCAGATTCATTCAGGTTTATTTCAGTTATAATGTCCACTTACATATGAATGAAATTATGTCTTTGCTTTTGCTATAAATTGTTCTGATTCACACTGATATAAACCAGAAACTAGATTTTTTTTTTCTATCTATTCATTAAAAGAATGGGCTCCGAGTTTTTTTGGGGGGGAATCGGGCTGAACTGGTTGAGCTCTAATGGTTGAAGATCACTGTTGATTGGAAAATCACTATTTTATCCCAGCCCTACAATTTTCCTGGTGAAATTAACATAGTGCTGTCCTTCTGCTGAGGGCATGCCAGTCTTCACATTTTCCAACTGTGTGATATATATTCATCTTGACACCATGTCCCCCAGAAGTTTCTGATTTAAGTTTCCATCTTTTTTTCTGGGTAGCTTTTTTTTTTAGCCTGAAAAAGCAGAGAACATTCTCTGCTGTCTTAAAAAGACAGAGAACCAACTTCGGATTTTGTTCTCCTCTCGATAATACGCCTGTCCTCAAAATGTCCCGGAGATGAGAGGTGGGAACAGTACTTATTGAACCTGTGCCATGACACCCATGAGACAGCAAACTTGATTATCGCGTTCTCGTATTGAAGAAAAAAAAGAGGCTTCCTAATGCTCCCCATCTTGTCCCTCTTAAGCAATCAATTAATGTATTAATTAATCTTGCCAGCACCTTCTTGCATTTGTACATTGATCTTCGGCGCTTAGAATGGAAGATTTATTCAATTTCAGTTTCAGCTCTGAAGTCTTTTGCTGATCGATCACCCACACAGCCCCGGCCTGGGGAAAGTCATATTGAGACAGGATGATACGGAGATGGAAATTGATTGAACAAATGGAAGGGTGGATGGGAAGAGCTCTGGAGCTCTCATGGCATGTAACCGTGGGAGTTTGATGCCGCAGGGGGTTCAGAAAGACCACCAACTCATCGCTCACAACCTCTCATCCTCCTGTTTTTTGAATTTCTTAGCCACCTTAAAGGAGCAGTTCACCCGAAATTATGTAATTATTTACTCACACTAATGTCATTCCAAAATGATCACAAAATAAGAATTTGGAAGAAATCACTATAAACCATAACCTGTCACCTTATCACCATAAATGTGGCCAGAGGCATATAAAACTTGAGTGGAACAGAGGGTATGTACTATTTTATTTGCAATTGAAATATTATTATTATTAAAAGATAAAAAGCATGAATGTCATGCTGTCCAAATAATTGATTTAAAGTGCTGCATAAAACAACTTTTGATGGTTTAAGAAGACTCGGATTATACTATATGACTTGTATAAACTACTTTTATAGTACTATTTTGCTTTTCATCATTTTTGAGCCATGATTGCTTTCTCATGTGTCCTTTTATGACAAAATAACAGCATACAGGATTTTCATTTTTGACCGGTCTATTCCTTTAACATTTTTGATGCTCTCCAGATTCCTATATGGTCTGTCATACTAAATTAGTTTTTGATATCTGCTCTTGTTCTGTCCTCTACATTTTTTTCCTTCAAAACTTTTGTCGCTCAATCTTCTGCCCTCTTCTTTGCTTTTTAATTTTCTCTAGGCCTATATCTATTTTTTCCCTGTCTTTTTTTTTTGGCCCTTCATCCCCAGCAGGTCGGGGTTCAGGGCACTCGAGGCAAAGAGATGGATAGACCTGAAATGCAGTGAGGGTGGGACGGAGATGTATAGAGAGAAAAACCATTACATGATGTGCGTAGTGGGGGCTGAAGGGTCACGATGTTTGAGGCCCTGTTCATCTTCCACCAGCTCAACACTGTAATGGAACCTTGACCATTTCAAGGTTGTGTATCCCATTTACACAATCTACTGGCGCTATTTTAGCATAGTAATTAACAGATTATGAGATTCCTCCTCATTTTCTGATTTTTTATAAGGTTACTGGAGCGGAAATGAACACTGCAGTCCTGACCTTTGAATAGATTGTGCATGTGTATACAACTGATATATTGGTTGTGTTCAGAATAGTAGCTTACTAGCATTCTGCTCTTACACTGCTGCATTGTATAGTATGCATCAATTTGGTCTTCTGCTTCCTGTGTGATAGATGAATGCACCAATACTGCACCAGTTTCACACTCATTGTTTTGCATTTAATTTTTACACAAATTGGATTAAAATGCACAAAACATTTCTGACGATGATGATGATGATTATTATTATTATTATTATTATTATAGAAGAAATAAGATTAAGAAAATATTAAGAAATAATAAAAGATAAATATTTTATTTTTGTATGGCTATTGTATTGTAAATAATCTAGTATTAAATAACAGGACAACAGTAATTGCAACATATAATAATAATAATAATAATAATAAATACAACATATTATTATTATTAAACACGATTAAGTATTAGGAATTAAAAATATAAAATATTAGGAAATTAAGACAAATAATATACTATTGTTATATTGCTATTGTGTAAACAATCTAATATTAATATAGAACAATGAAAAAACATAATAAAAGAACAATCATTTTACACAATATTGGATTAAAACGCACAAAACGTTTTATTTCCTTCTGCAAATAGAAAGATTTGTTGAAGATGATGGTTTATTATTGCTATTAATATTATTATTATTATTATTATGTAAGAAATGTTTAAGAAAATATTAAGAAATAATAGATATTTTACTATTATATCACTATTGTATTGTAAAAAAATAATATTAAATAATATAACAATAAATAGAACATTATTATTATTATTATTATTATTATTTATTGGTCTATTCAATTTTATGTAAAAATGTTAATTATAAATATTTCTAATAAATAGTTATTTTTTATTCTACAGTACAATAATATTACAGTTGCATTTTTTTCTGTCTTCACTTTTATGCATTACATTGTCAAGCTTTTATTTTGTGTTTTATGAATGTAAAATCAAAGTGAACCTGGCAGGTTTTATGTTGTCAGTGCAATTTAATCGAATTACATTTTGGCCTTTAATGGACCCTGAAGTGTCAGTCAAAGTTATGAAAGAACTGACATGTTACAGTGTCTTGAATGAGTCGGACATGCTGTTGTCCTTAAGGCGAGTCCCCTGGTCTAACCTCATTAGCACAATGGAAAAAGAGACATTATGGAGCCTTTTTCTGCACATAAGGAGGGTGAAAGAGAACCAGACAGTCCGACGAGGCCATTACAATCCTAATGGGACTGTATTGCCTGCTGGCTGTGTGGTTTCTTCCACTGTACATCTGAGTGGTCTTGAAAGCGGCCTGCTTATCTACCCTGTTATTGTTCAGACATTAAGTTTCTATGAAATATTTGTGAATTTTCCTTCATTTTGAGTGATTACACAAGGCCCCCTCCTCCTCAATTGCTCAGCTTTATAAAGTTAAGCCAGGCTCAATTAAGGCCTGTTTGATCTTCTCCTGCGCATTTTGCCCCGCTAGCAATATTAATGAGGCTGTTTAGTGTCAGCACCTGTGGAGGGTGGGGCTCAGCCTGGCCAGAATTAGAGACTAATTAGAGATAATCTAGGCTTCTTAACGAGCCAGGTGTGCCAGAGAGCATTGAGAGAGCGTTTAGGTACTTCGCTCTCCCCTACAGGTAATGACTGCAGAGACAGAGAGGAAAGACACAGGAAAACATAGACGTTGGCAGCGTTTTAGTGTACGTTGGGTGAACTGGACTAAGAAAGATTGGTAAGTAGCCGATGTCGCATCCGTTTGTAATTACTTCAACAAGCATGTGTGAATGCAAATGTTCTTGTGCAAGCTTGTGTGTTCGCGTTTAGAAAGAGAACGGGGGAGAAGTCGCATCCATCAGGGAAATCTGCCGAAAGAGTTCAGGAGTCAAGGGGCCGGGAAGCAGCAGTGTGTGTGTGGGACGGCTTGCATACCTCATTATCACTACCTGTAGGCTCAGCTCTGGGAAAGTGTCGGCTGTAGATGGACCGGGAAGATTAGCTGTAAGAGGTGAGCAGATGCAGGGATTACAGGAATCCCTCGGCCCTCCAAGCAGTCATTAAAGCGAAACTAATTATTGAACACCGGGCCCAAGGAGCTGCAACTGCGACTTCTGTCAATGACCTAACTATAGAGAAAGAAAAAAGAGGATATTTGTGTAAAAGACTGGTTTTAGTTTGCAGAGTTATCAATAATGGGAAAAAAAGAATGCATAAGTCATAAGCACAAAGCAGAGGAAGTAACCTAGACTCGGCCCCAGATGGCCCATCCGTGGACCGTATGATGCATATTGTACACTAAAATAGCAAGAGCTGAAAAAAATACTGCAGATGTAGTCTAATTGGCTCACTAAACAACCTCTGGAGTTGGAAACACAGGTTTTTATCATTTCTTTGGAAACCAGCTGCAATCTCTGTACTTCCACCATATTTTCTGATGTTTGCGACGGTTGTGGCATAAAAGATTGTTTGAGGCAGTGAGTGGCACTGAAAACTGTTCCTGTTGGAAAATCCAGCTTTGTAGCTGTGCTTTAGAACATGGGTTGTTGGGTTCTAGCTGGTCCAATTATGCAAAAAAAACTCTCACTCGATGTATTGCTTTTCACATATTACACTACTGTTCAAAAGTTTGGGATCTGTAAGATTTTTTTTTTTTAATTGTAATAACATGTCACAGTATTACTTCATCACAAAAATAAGAGATTTCTTTCAAATACATTAAAAAAAAAAAAAAAAAAAAAAAACTTTTTCTGGGTAGTTAAAAAAACAGCATTTATTTCAAATAGAAATATTTTGTAACATTATGTAATATGTCCTTGCTGAAAAGTAATTATTATTATTATTATTATTATTATTATTATTATAATTATTATAATATATATATTTTTTATTTATTTATTTATTTTTTTTCAAAAATAAATAAAAATGACTGACCCCAAATCTTTGAATGGGAGTGTATGTAACAGAAAATAAGGTATTCAGACGGGGACAGAAGTTAGTCTAACAGTGGAATTAGATAAATGATGGTAACACTGAGCAGACAGGGAGTTACTGTAAATCAAGCCTCTTTTGTTGGAGCAGGATATTGCTGACAATTGCTGTTTTCGTTCATCTCAAGAGTATTCTATTCCTGTTGCTAGATCAAATTTAGAAAACAGGACACTGAATACACATTAAGGATGGTGTGATATGTCCAGCAGTGTCAATTTCACCATGTCTCTGACCGAGTGTGTTTCTGGAACTGTTTCTTCACTTAATTATATTAGAGATCAGTTTGAATGTACAAGACCTGATCCAAAATCAGCAGATTTCAGAGTGCATTTTTAAACCGAGTTCTGGAGCGTTAGCTCTTCACTCAGCTGTGCACTGTTGCAAACTCTCTTTACTGCTCATACCGAGATCAATACTTCATATGAGGAAAGTGGGTGTCAGAACTCCATCCACCAGTGATCTCTGATCTCCAGGATTGTTCGGCGGCCTTGTTCTCTGAGGGGCCTCTCCTTGACCTGGAGTCTGAAAGCCACCGTTCCTCTGATCTCATTGCTTCTGGTGGTTTTCATTTCCACTGCAGATGTTATGAGTGATAACACTGTATTAAAGTATTAGGTCTCCGAGAGATAAGTACGAAGAAGTTTTTGGGGTTTTGCTTTCCTGTGTTTCTCAGTCTGTTTAGATGCTATTTTCTCTCACTCACAGTAGATAAACTTTTACGCAAGTAAGGTCACAGAAAGGACACAGTATTTTGTGTTATGTAGTATTCTTTAGCATGGGGAATCTAAGAACAGCACAATGAGTTACTGAGAGATAAATTCATAGGACATTGCCATGAAAATTTGACTATATTCCTGGAATCAACACAGATTTAGACAGATTTGTGAACAATATTTGAGAGAAATATGCCTTTTGTGTACATAGGAAAAGTCCTAAGTAGGAAAAATGGGGGCAAAAACAAAAGTGTTGCGTTTATAATTTTGTTCAGTGTACAAACAGTTTGGTGCAGTAAAAAATTTTACTCCGAAATTGCTAGTAAGTTTCACAATTAATTAAAAAAACTGCAAGTAACACTTAATTAAACCATTTTTTTTAGTGTTTTGTTGTAAAACATACTCCAATAATCTGTTTTATTTACAACTTTGAATACTCATTTTTGCCATTTTTAAACCGCATAATCCAAATTGATGGAAACCATCGCTTCTTTAAAAACTTGGGTTGGTTGTTTTTTGCGTGTCATTCAAACTCTTATTTCTTGTCGGTTTTAGCCAGATTAAAAAAAATAGTTTAGTCAATTTATTGAAGCATTTGAGGAATAAGATAAAGATAATAAAGAACTGAAGATGCATTGACAGGTGCAAGGCTGTGCACGCCCAAAACCATAACATAATTTACTTTTCTTTGTCCCCATCATCAATTAGGATATGAAATATCCTGATGTCTAGTCCTGTGTAGCCAGACTTTTGACTTGCAACATAAACTCAGAAGGCCAGCATGATTTACTGACACCCTTAAAAGATGACACCTTCATGCACGGCGCTGTTTCTGTGAGGGATGTGACACATCTCTGAAAAGTAAGAATAGTTATCTGAAAAAAAATCGACAAGTTCTTGGAACCTGTGCTGACATCTACGGAGAAAATATATCTAAATGCTCAGTTTCTTTATAAAATTGTGGCCCTTTGTATCAGTTGTGGTTTGAGTCATCCTTTTTGAATTCTGAACATGAGCCCTTCTTCTCCTTCTTCTTCTCCTTCTTCTTCTCCTTCTTCTTCTTCTCCTCCTTCTTCTCCTTCTTCTTCTCCTCCTTCTTCTCCTTCTTCTTCTCCTCCGTCTCCTTCTTCTCCTCCTCCTCCTTCTCCTCCTCCTCCTCCTTCTCCTTCTCCTTCTCCTCCTCCTTCTCCTCATTTAGAATTATTTGCATGTACTCGATGCAACATTAAATTTCCCTTTTTTTTTTTTTTTTTTTTTTTTTTCTTTTTTTTATGAA